GTACTCACTCTTCAGTCAGTAAGGAAAGACTGAAGAGGGAGGACGCAATCTGAAGTCCTTATATACTACAGAGAAGTGTCCATGACTAATCGAAGAGTGGTTAGTCACATGTACCATAGTGCGATGAATAATACAATGGTGAAAGAATTGCGACGTATCGCACCATAGGATGAGTAAGAGATGAGTAAGGCATAGACCTGTCTAGACCGTTCTGGAGTAGTACGGATTGTCCTAGACAGTACCAGAAGAGTCCGGAAGCATAGCTATAGTACACGAGCAGAGAGTCCCAAATATGGTAACATACTACATAAGCGACTACAGCTAAGCGCTAGGAGACGCATAGCCTCGTGTAGTCCGGACCGGATAAGTCCAAGTTCAACATTTCTTCAAGACGAATAACTTAGCAATGCCGCGCAATCTGAGCATTTCATGTGAATATCGCGTGACAACCTAGTTAGTCGAGGACGGCCTAGAATGCTGAGAAGAAGATGGCAGTGAAGTAGTGATGTCAAAACATGAGAAAGGGGCATCCCTTATGTACTATTGCAATGGCCTGAAAGCCGGACAGACCCGTCGAGATAGTGGTGGCAAATAAAAGTGGCAGTAAACATCTGGAAGACGTTAGGGTACATCTCGGTCAAGCACAATGGATTCCTGGCTGTTTCCATACAGCGGCGGCATCATGCATTATCCTCCACATCGCTGCTTCCCGGACAACCAGCCAATTGCTCTTCCCAAGCCTTCCCTGGTCCCGGTAGAGGTCCGTGATCCTGAAAGGTCTCAGTAATGATCTTGACATCGATGATTTCCAGGTAAACGGGAGCAGCCGATGGACCAGTGATGGCCTGCTTGCCAGTGAAGATTGTGCCGAAGAGGGAGGATAACAATGTCAGTGAGCAAAGATCGAACAATGGTCAATTTCGAAGCCTGGCAATGCATTCGCTCACCCTAGGAGATACCGGAGATCGAAACTGAATGGTTTTCTCCTGCATGTTGTTGACTGATAGGCCGAAGGAACCAGTTTCGAAGCCTTCCATACCTTTGTCCACAAGTGAACGACGGGAGTTCAATCTGAATGAGAGTGTTGGCGTCAGAGAAAAGAGACAGATATCTCATCTAATGGTACATACACCGCCAAAAGGGAGTTTGAATACACTGGAGATGTCAAGCATAAAAGATCAGTGTCGCGGCGACTAGGCGCGTAGACTCGGGTCGACGTTCGGCGACGACCCCGTAGGCGAGCGGCAAGGAGCCGAAAGGGGAAAGAGAGAGGGAGAGGGATAAACGTGACAGAAAACTCGACGAGGGCAGAGCGGAGGTCGGCACGAAGGCACGAGACCTACGAAAGCTAGTCTTCACGCAGGCAGCGACAGACTAGTCCCAATGACCAAGTTATACATTAGCACTCGAGGGGAAGTACAACGCTATGGTCACTCACCTAGTCCCAATGACCAAGAGGTCGAGATGGGGACTAGGGAGCGCCTAAGGGGGTCCTTATATACTAGAGGGGCTGCTTAGCAACCAAGGACAAGGCGCGAGAGCGAGGCAGTGAAGATGACAAAGAGAGAACAAAGGGCGAGAAAGAAAGGCAGAGCATGGCGATCACGGGAACGTAGCATGCGGCTGTGGGAACGTATCTACAGTGTCCAAATTGGGATGGCGTANAAAAGGAAATGGTCCGCAAATGGAAGGTGGGCGTCAAA